AAAGAGATTTCCCACAGACTCCAATAACCAGCCAAAAGCCTGGCATTTGCATCTTTGCCCCCCAAGTCCTTTTTCAGTCCTTCTTCAGGTAAAGAGCTTTTTCAGTCCAGGAACGTAACGACTAACAGTGTGGCCCGGCCAGCTGGTTCAGACAGAAGTTGTAAAAATTCTGCATAAACAACGTATCACTGGTCTGGCCACTGTCTTGTCCCTGAAAGCACAAAGATTTGAGAACTCTGATACTCTCAAAAGCTGTACATGTGTGTGTGCCTTTTGTTCTTAAAGAAATGTCAGCCGAGAATAAAATGCAGCGATCTTCTCAGCTCTGGGTCACCACCTCGATATTGAGTCAGAAACTAACAGCAGCTTTCTTACAGGGAAATTCCTTTCTTGGAATACAGCAATTTTAGGGAAGTTTGAATTCGAGGCCAAGTATCCTGGCTCAGGCTTATCTAAGTTACCTGTCGAGGCTGGTATCCATAGGTTTAATCCCCGTTATTGCTGGAGTAAGCATTGCTGCTCTTAGAGATAATACTCAAGACGCTGCAGGACGCAAGGAAGGAACCTCCTCCTGTTTCCCCCTTTATTACATGTAAATGGTCGCCAGCACAAGTTAGGCAGAGACTTGGTGGCTTCCTTTGCAAGACAAAAGCAGCCGTGGTTTCCCTAAATGTACTCATTAAAATATATTTTCCTTCCACTTTTGGCCCTGAAGGATCATCTCAGCTTATGAGAACTAAGCTTCTGTCTATCTGATTATTAAATCATTTCTAAAGCAGATGGGAAACCACAGTGGTTTAAACAGCTAGGCTGAGACTGCAAGGCTAAAAATAGTATAGCAGGCTCCTTTTAATTAGTAAGATGATCAAATATGACAGAAGAGAGAGATGTAGATATATGGATTTGTGTGTATGTGTGTCTTTAAAATTAAGTTATTACCTCAATACCAGGTGTTATTTATAACATATATGATACATGATGTCTGATTTTTATGATGCCATTTATCTTCACTTGGGAGAGAAGACAGGCTAACTCTGCTTTCATAATGTCAATCCTTGCTGTATTCAAAAGGAAAATTGTAATAAGATAAACCTGCCACCATGCACAGTGCCATCATTTTTTAAATGAGGTGGATTAGTAAGCGCTCTGATGCAATAGACTGACTGTTCTGCAGCTCCCGGAGATGAACCCTTCCCCAGGGCACCCGTGGAGAGCGTGGAGGAGCCAGTCTAGCCTTATACCTGCGATTTCAGGGCAGGGGAGCCTGGCATAGGGCCAAATGGGTCAGGGACTGCGATGTCTATTCTACTGCCGTGCTGCCCACCTATTTTTGAGGACTCTTCAAAACCTGAACAGGGGAGAAAAGAAATCCGCCGCCCCTCTGCTCCAGCGGCGCTGGGTGACACGTGGCGTGTAGTGATCTGCTCCATCATGAGGACGTGGCCCTTTGGTGTTCATCAGGTGACTGATGACCATGACGTTTGCTCCTGGGGCCACACGGCTGCTGCCCAGGCTGTGGTTGGGTGCTGCCACGAAACACACACTGATGCTGCAGCTGCAGACTTCAGGCAGGTAAGCTGAGGTGGCTGAGGATGTCTGGCACGTTGGGCGCTGGGTCAGACAGATGTCCCCTTGCTCCAAGGGGAGCCCAGACAGGGAGGCTCTGCAAACTACGCCCTTTGCTACAGGAGGACCTGACCAGTGGTGGGCACAACCCCCTTCTTGGCCATTGCATGAAGGGATCAGCCGATACTTTGAAAGGACCTGGAAGTAAAAGGTGAACCTTCACCGCAGCAGAAATTCTCCTGACAACATCTTGCTTAATGAGGACCAGATAGCACCTGGCTTCCAGAAAGATTTGGTGCAAAAACTTGGTGCATTCATTAGTCATTAGCTGCCTTCTCCTGGTCAAAAGTACCAAGCCAAGGAAGATGAGACAGTGGGTCTTGTAGAAATTGAAAAGTGGTATGAAAAAAAAATAAATCTGTAAACCCCTGCTCTTTCTTACTTCCCATTGATCCCCCTGAAGGCAGCAAGCCTCTGGCTGGCTAGCAGGGCTACACGGTGTCCTTCTAAAGCATGTCAAATGGTCTGGGGTTAATCTCTGCCTCCTGGGCTGTGACCCTAAGATGAGCAGGAGCCCTGTGGGTAAGAGGACTTCCACTTGCTCCAAGTCTGTGCTCCCAAAGCCAAGCTGTACAGCTTTCCACCCAGTTCCATCCAGTTCTAGTTCCATCCAAGCAACTAGAACAGACAAACCTAGAGAGGCTGATTTTTTTCACTCAGGTGAAGACTTGCCAGGCACGTCTGGCATTTTGGCTACAAAGAAGCCTTGTCTGGTGTGGAGAGCACCCCTGTAAGGACAGCATGAGCAAGGAAGGGGTCATGAACCTCCACCTCCATGCTCCTGCTCTGGCCCCATGCCACCTACACCATGAGCAGAACCAAGTTCCCCAAATTTGAGTACAGTGATGCAAAAGGAAACTGTAACATCATTAGATAAATCTTTTCCCCATGTTACTTATCACAGCTGAAAAGTTATAGCAACTTTAATCAATAGTAACTGTTTTACTTGAAGAAACAACGAGCTAAAAATTATTTGGGGGTGGTCCTAAATAGGCCTGCAGTGCCAGAGTACTATAGGAAACAGTAACTGATGCTGGGAGAGAATATGCTCCCTATTTTAAAACACATTTTCAGTATTCTTATGACCTTACTAACAATCACGGTGATGCAGAAAGAAGAAACACAGCCAGGCCACTTTATTCCCCACTGTAAGTGTCTTTGAGCTATTCCTCGACTAATAATTTTCCTGGAGTTTTTGCTAAATGACATAGATCTTCAGCCAAATTGTGTTCTTGAAATCCATATTTAAGTCTTGAAATTCAAACGCAATTTACCTTCAGATTCATGGTTTTATCCAAACCCAAAGTTCTGGAGTTCTGCCCCAACTTTTGCATTGGGTTTCTACTCCCTGTAACTGTGACAGCTTCCCCGTGGGTGCGAAGGCTGCAGGGCAGGTCTGGCCAGGCAGTGCATCTGTCAAAGCGCCCAGCACCATGAGGTGCCTGGCCCGGAGCGGGTGCTGCTGCTGTAAGGCCAAGCCTTCAAGGACCTTAGTTCAGTCTTTTCCCAAAATGCTGGGTCACATGCCACAGCCAAATGTGAAAGCTTCCCTGGGGGTCCAGCCAAATGTGAAAGCTTCCCTGGGGGTCCACTGCACCTTCCCAGTGCCAAACAGAGCAGCAGAGCCTGGAGGTGGCCCAGGTCCATGGGCAGTTTATGG